CATCAGTGGATGGCGTAGGGGCGCCCTCTGGTAAGTTTTACTTGAACAGCTGCTATGACAAAACTCACCACCTAGCGGCCAGAAAGGCGATGACAAGAACCGGAAACATGACAGTATTGTAGTTTTTACTATTAGTTTCTTAGTAGTTATCAGTAGTTCTATGTGTACTAATGTCTGTATACCAAATGTTCCTTTTGTTCCTGCAATTATCCTTCGGGCATGAATTTGCAATAAAACAAACATTGTCTGTCGGTCAGGATTTTCGGCAGTTCTGACAGATTATTTTAAAAGATGGCAACGTTTCATAGTCGCCCGTAGACTACATGCTAAAACTCAATCCCTACTAAAGCTAACGGAGTGGAGTGCACAAAAAAAACAACAACAACAATTTCTTAACTTTTCAGCTCCAATTGACATGGAGCAGTCAGTGGGAGACATCATATGATTTAGAGACACCTAGTAAAGAAAAGACACCGTCAATATTTTCAGTCCTCTTTGTATATGTCTATTCATTTTTATGTCTCCGATCAGAGAAGACAGAATTACGTGTTACGTTGTAAAAACGTGACAATTCAAAGTGTACCAGGGCTACTGAAAATACGCACTATGATCAGCGGCGGCTGATCTATTAGAAGTTTTCAAACCAGGCTAATTCTAACATGGAGGTAGAAAAAAGTACCAAACCTCCAGAAAAAAAGTACCAGACACTCGCTTTGCTCATTTCTCCTTCTGTACATTGGACCTAACCTGTCTTGTCGCTGGTGGTAACTACGGAGCATGGTACCAAATACTACCTTGCAACAAGGAAGAGATGAGTAGTGTGAACAAACAAGCACAAACCAAGCAATAGCGCAGTGCCCACTGCCGATGACAGTGTCACAGCGGTGCCAGACAGGTAGGCCTGTACGTCACGTGCAACCAGGCGTGCAATTAGCACGTGCAATTGGCCATCCGTGAGGCCAGAAGCTATTATTGGCCAGGAGCTCTCCATGGAAACAGCCAATGAAGTAGGGGAAGTCCGCGGTCATATGGTACCTGTTGACATGTCGACAAGAAAGGCAGGCGATGGTTAAGACACGTCTGTCAAGTTGTCTGTTCTTCAAACAGTGGTGTTGTTAATTTGTTATAGCTACTACTAGTATTTGACGTTTTTGTGTGGACGGTACGGGAATGAGTGGGTATGGTATGAAGCCTAAATAAAGTTTCCCAGTTCTCTTACTCGGCTGTCAAGTCCGTAATGATAGGAGATGAAAGAAATGGAAAACTGACGAACAAGCCCAATGGTTCTATAAGGAAAGGCACTATTCATTCATAACCCGGTGCTCTCCAAGTACACAGGACGAAAAGGAACGGTGTGACTGGCGTAGAAGAAATCCAACTGGTCAGACCACATTGACGCAACTCATGAATTCGCGTGCGTCTTTTAACGCATTAACATGGCGGGTGTTAAAAGTTACGTCATATCACGTGACTGCAAAATACTCCTGTACCTGTAAGTTCCGTTGACGGTGATGCCGTTGCAGGCGTCCAGATCGTCGTGTACGTACATAGTCCCGTTCTCTCTCCGCAGCCGGCCGTAGATGGGGAAGCCGTCAAATGCCACCCCTACGACAGTGTCGTCATACTCCGCGACACAGCTCGCATAGTGGGTGTAGTGGTAGTAGCTGTGGAGGGAAGAAAAGGTGCCATTCTAAAATCCGTACTCCATTCATTTACATGCCCAGGCGTACACGGTGACATTGTGTTTTGTTTTTGTTTTGTGACTTGACGGTAGTTCCAAGAAAAATGCCTCAGTCCTGAGTTGATAGCTGGTGTATGTGTATTTTCTAATTGTCTTGTTCGAGGGCTAAATTCAGTAGGACCGCCTAGCCTACGCATTACGCTAAATTTAGGAAGTCAATTATGCAAAATGTGGCCATCTCACTAAAATGACGGTAAATGAAAATAGCTTGTCTACGCTTTACTGAAAAGCCAAAGGGGCATGCGGGTTCCCTTGGTCTTTCCCGACTCTGACGTTACTTACGCTCCCACGTTGGAAGGACGTCCACCGCAGGAGTCCGTCATCGGTTCGTCTAGGTAGCTTATAATTGGCAAACAGGGTATTAAGAAGTCGTCGTTGAAAGGATCGACGATCGGGATACCGTTGGCGGCCATACCGATCATACCGTTGTAAAGGCAGCTGGGAGAGGCAGCCGGTGTAGGTGTCGCCGGGATGCGAAATTCAAAGTCCTGGGGAGTTTGGACCAAAAAAGTAACATGGCAGATTTTCGAAGCATTGGAAGACTGTTTTCCCAAGGAGATATATATTTCAGCAATAGACCTCATTCCAGATACAGTCGCCATATTGATTCTATTCTCGCGAGAACACATTCTTGGCGTGAGCGCGCGTGACCGCGCACGAAAGCGAAGCACCCGTGGGTTCGGATTCCCTGTAGTACGTTCTTAGACTCCTTAACCACGGTCGATAGCGATGCTCCAAGATGCAGCAAGATTGGATTATCAGTAATCAATAAGAAAGAGACAGTTCTGTTTCTCACCTGGACCTGGAGAGGGGTGGGGCTGATTAGCCCGGGGAACGTCCCCGTCTCGTGGTCAGGGATCCCGTTCGATTTCAGAACCAGCGTGTCGCCGTCCTGCCATACGAACACCGTTCCCTGCAGGCCCGTGTTGGTCTCCGTGTGGACACGGGTCACGAAGGCGGCTTTCTCGTCCGCGGAGAGACCCAGCACTGTGGCCGGCAGGACGGCTAACACAAGGACTGCACACAACCGCAACATCATGGTAGCTAGAGAGCACCTAGATCACGAAGAAAAGCACGTGAGGATATATAGATATATATAGCCAGTCCATTGACACCCTTTAACTAGACGTACATAAGCTTCAGAATAAGCATATTCCTTTCATTTATTCTTACCTACAAAGGGTCAAGGCCAAGTTTGGGCCTCCTGGTGGCTGACCTTGCAGCATAATTTCCGGTTTCTGGACCTTTTGTCCTGGACATGTTATGGTGTTAATTGATTTTCGGGTTTTCATGGTTTTGGCGTATACGTAGCTCACACATTAAAATGCAACTTGAGAACTTAGTTTGCATAAAGCAAAAATTCCATCGTTGTACAAAATAGCACTTTGATACATGTAATATATGTGAACATATGTGATTATGTGAATAAATTAAAAAAAAGATGTGAACAATGGCAAGTGGAACATTAACAGATATAATTATGTCATATGCAAAATTAATGACGAAATGTTAAATTTATCAAACCTTGCCACAAGATAGGACTTTCACATATGAACTAAATGTAATTTGAGGTGAGAAAACTATATATAAGATAGCTTATGCTACATGCGTCCTTGATTAACGAGACAAAAAAATTACAAAGGCTCTAAATATTTCATGTAGGTATGAGGTATCCGAATTCTTTTTAGTACCTGTTTAACAAAGTACAACATAACGTGAAAAACAGGAGAACACACCAGAAGAGCAACATATAACACGGATACAAATAATTCGTGAACATATATGAAAGGAAAAAGAAACTGAATAGAAATGAAGTACATGGACATGTGAAGTCACTTGGCAACATGATACATGTCGCAGAAAGTACTTTTCGTCTGTGATACCTCTCGCTATCGCACGATCTAGTCAGACTATGATATATTTAACTTCAGCCCATCTTGCAAACACTAGCAGTTAGCAGAATACTACTTCAAAATTCCAAGGTCATGGCGTTACTTTTCTGACAAGGGGTAAGTTTCTAGCCCGTGTACCACCCTCGTATAGTTCAGTTGTCATTGTATCATTGTAATACTATATCGGTCATGCACTCCCCTTTTCCGTGTCTACAAATACCTTCTTAAGGAGTCGAATGGCCCATAGTACTGTGACCCTGTTGTTATATTAGGACACGGCATTCACTGTATACGAGTATTGTGTACAAAATAAGGAGATACCATTACCAGAGACACCTGTCAGAGTGCCTTTTGTCCGTGTTACGATATTTCGGTCCACCCTTTCTACATACCTGGCACTACCTCTCACTACTGGTCCACTCTTTCTACGTAGTTATCACTACCTCTCACTACTGGTCCACTCTTTCTGCGTAGTTGTCACTACCTCTGACTACTGGTCCACTCTTTCTACGTAGTTATCACTACCTCTGACTACTGGTCCACTCTTTCTACGTAGAACTAAGACAATCCCAACACCCAATGATTATTACGAAAACCTGAATGCCGAGTAATGATTTAGTTACACGTAGTAAACGTAAACATACCTGCAGAAAAGTGCGAGTAGAGTATATTGTTGTCCACTGCTGTGAGCCACTAAATGTGCCCCTAAGGAGAAAAACAAAGGGTTTATCCCTTGGGCAGACGCCCGCATGCGTACTTAGCACATCAGATCTTCTCAGGTGTCAGAAAGGACCTTGACCCTGTCTGGTACGGGTCCGACGCGTCGCCTTGACGACCAAAATGGCGGAGACTCGTCCCCATGGCGACCAAAATGGCGGCAACTCGGGGCCAGTTTGCACCAGGGAGAGGTTTATTACTAGCCTTTACCAGGCTTCGGGAGGCGGTTGGAAAGAGTAGAAATAAGCCAAACATGCCGAGGTAAGGAAAATGTACTCTCTAGCGGACCAACTCCCTCGGCATTTTACCTATCTATTTGGCCAATTTCTACTCCTTACAACCGCCTCCCGAAGCCTGGTACAGGATAAGTTTTATGATATGCACGCGAGTACTTCACGTTTGACTCAGTTACATAATGCTCCCTTGAATGACGAAAGAATCATACTGATGAAAGACAATTCGCCATAAAAGCAAGTATGAAACAACAGGTCGTATGAAATCAAAAAGTTTACAAAAACACAGCTGTTAACGTTAACGGTACATGATTGTTCACACTAACTTCTTATGAAGGCGAGGCAAACATTTAGGATATATCGATAAGCTGATCTACTATTCTTAGTAGAGCTGAAGTGAAGCTAACGGACTCGCGTGCACAAAAAAAGGTTATTAACATTTCAGCTCCGACTGACATGGAGCAGTGAGAAACATCATCAGTAAAGACACAGTGAATATTTTCAGCTCCCTTTGTGTCTATTCTTGTTTCTATCCCGATAAGTGTTATATTGTAACATCGTGACAGTTCAAAGTATACTAGGGCTGCTGAAAATACGCAAGTACATGTAGCAGCTGATCTATTCAAACCAATTATCAAATTGAAGTTACTTTGTAAAGGCATTTGCTATGCTTCTTTCTTCATCTGTACCTTACTTACACCTAGCCTGGGTATCATAGGCTGGTCGTTGGTGGCAGTCGGTAGTAACTACGGAGCATGGTACCCAATACTACCTTACACCAAGGAAGAGATGAATAGAGTGAACAAGCACAAGCCAAGCAATAGCGCAGTGCCCATTGCCGACGACACAGCTGTGCCGGATAGGTAGGCCTGTACGTCACAACTGCACTCAGTCCTCGCCCCGCTATTGGCCAGGACCTCTCCATAGTAACAGCCAATGAAGTAGGGGAAGTCCGAGGTCATGTGATACCTGTTGACAAGAAAGGCAGGCAATGGTTTAGGCATGTTTATTTGTTTGTAGTTCATACAGTCGTGTTAATTTTCATATCAACTATTTGATATTCCCCTGTTCGTCTTACCCCAACAGAGGGGTTGATTGTTTATTGTTTATTTCAGTTTGCACATAAAAATAAAAACAGTATGTAATGAATATGTACAACCAAATGTGCGGGAGAACCCAAGAAACCTAAGGGTTTATCGAGTGGGTTCTCCTAAAATCCAATTGTTTTGTATGATCTCTTTTTACACACGTGTATAATAAATAAGTGACAACGAAACAAACAAATTAAATCAAAATAGATACAAAATAATAACACGACAAAAAAGTTATCGTTTTTTAACATAATGACGACCACTTTGATTTGGCCCTCTACCGGGGTCAACGGAACTGCAGCCGGCTCACCCTGGAACGTGGCTGCATAATGCCGCGCATTTATACACGAACAGGGAAATCTTCACAATCCAACTCATACGGTGTACAAGCCGATACCTTTCTATACCACACAGTGCAGTTCATTCATTGCTACCTCTCACATAAGTCGCTTTAGCCAGGATGCAAGAGGTTTGTCTGTACTACTTTCTATACCCGCGGAAATACTGTGTTCTGCGGCCTTAACCCACCAATATGGCGGATGCAAACGTTACGTCATATCACGTGACTGCAAAAGCTCTCCACACCTGTACGTTCCGTTGACGGTGATGCCGTGGCAGGCGTCCAGGTCATCGTGTACGTACAGCGTCCCGTCCTCCTTCCGCGGGCCGTAGATGGCGATACCGTCAAACGCCACCCCAACGATGCCTGAAGCACCCGAGTCGCTCTCGGCATTGTCCGGGAGACAGTTCGCTTCGTGGTGGTAGTGGTAGCTGTGGAGGGAAAGAAAATGTGTCATTCTAAAAACAAAAGCCTCTCAGTTTTTAGTCCATTCATTCACATAGCCTGGGACCAATTTTCTAAGATTCTAAGAATGTCCTTATTATACGTCGAAGGTTATAAAACTGTTAGAGCTACTATATGTTAGAGCAACTGTTTTTTTTGGCGTGTCCCTATTGTCATTTAGCATGGAGTCCAGCCTTGTTAGTTCGCTCCCCAAGATGTCCCTATGTCGTAGGAAAACAAAGGTCAAGGTCAAATTTAGGCCTCCTGGTGGTTGACCTAGGTACTGCAGCAGAACTTCCCGTTTTGTATCCTTTGTCCTGTTATGGTCTTAGATTTGCGGCCTTATTTCCATAATCAATGCGAAAAAATCCCCCCCCCCCAAAGGTTAGATTAGTACACTAGTAGAAATAGTTTATAGTTATTAAGTGCCATACATTGTATCCAATGCAATTGTTGCGCAATAAACTTGACTTGACTTGACATAAACTACAAATTTCATGGAGGTATGAGATCTCCGAATTCTTGTTATATTTGTACTCACTCTCCCCGTTCGGCGGGATGTCCGTCGCAGTCGTCCAGCACCTCGTTCGTCACGGCGTCCTGACAGTCCCTGTTGAAGGGGTTGTAGATCGGGATGCCGTTGACGGCCATGCCGATCGGCCCCTGCCCCAGACAACCGGGAGAGGAGGCCCGGGTAGGCGTCACCGGGATGCGCCATGTGTAGCTCTGAGGAGTTCGAACACACACAAAAAAGATCAAGCGTATTTTAATGTAAAGAATTGATAATACTTTTAATACTTAGTATATATTTATGTTTACCGAAGGAAAACATATTGTTTTTACTCAGTTTTTTTCCTCCTCTTCTGTTCCAAACACTAACCTTTGATCTGGCCAATGACATGACTTGTTGACGCCTGTCACCATGGTGACTGTTGTTGGGTTACATAATGTTGCAATTTCATGGTCTGCTCTGCTCCTGTCACCATATACTAGTAGTACAGCCGTTTTCCTTCGGCAGCCAAGAACCCTTCGCCCGCCTATCTAAATTACCGCTACGGGGGAGTT